ACTAAGTCTATACAATGTTTCTGTGAACAGAGTCTCCAGAACTAACAACAATAAAAAGACAGAGACAATCTTCCAACAAGGGCCAATAAGGAAGAGTTAGGCACTTGTCACGAATACGTCCAACCACCAAGAGAGTCTAGACCAGACTGAATACTTCAGGTGAGGTGAGAACACCCCCCCTCTATCACGTGATAGCTCCGTGGACAGTTTTGCTGCCCAGCAACAGAAGCCGGCAGAGTAACGAGCAAAGAGCGATAATTACATTAGTTAGACAATCAAGACTTGAACTATGTGCACATAATAATATGTTACATCCTACCTAACAAAAGTAACTAAGACAAATAATAATATAAAGTCATATATTTACGATTTAGCTATTATCGCAAATATAAACAATATAAAATTATATGAAAAGATAATATACATTATATATTATATATTATATATACATCTAGGTTTTTCTCCTTTTTCTAAATAGCTCTTGTTCTTTTTTATTTCTTCTATTGTCCATGGGGAAGTGGAAAGAACTTTCCTCCGTAAGCCATGCTGTCGTATGAGGCACTAAAATGCCGGGAGCAATGGGTAGTAACCCTTCCTTGTATACATTTACTAAAAAAAGAAGAAAAACTCTATAAAACTGGGATGCTTAAATGTGCGTGATGTAGTGCGGATGACAAGAAACAGATGATTGTGATTTATGAATGGAAAAAGTTGGATGTATGGTCTAAGCGAAACAAAGCTGAGGGGTAGGAGAGTTTCAGTGGGGGAAATAAATGGGATTAAATCTGAGTATCTGAGAGAGTTAGAGCAAAGCAAGGGTAGCAGTAATGTTAACTGCATTTTGGAAGGAGAAAGAGAATATGAATGTGTAAATTCAAGAATTATGTGGATTAAAGTAAAGGTTGGATCGAAGAAGTGGGTCATAATAGCGTGTATGCACCTGGAGAAGAGAGAGCAGAGGAGAGAGAGAGATTTTGGGAGATGTTAAGTGAATGTATTGGGCCTTTGAACCAAGTGAGAGAGTAATTGTGGTAGGGACCTGAATGCTAATGGAGAAACTTTTAGAGAGGGTTGTGGTAGGTAAGTTTGGGGTGCCAGGGTAAATGATAATGGGAGCCCTTTGATTGAACTTTGATAGAAAGGGTTTAGTTATAGGTAATACATATTTTAAGAAAAGAGGATAAATAAGTATACCGATATGATGTAGGCGAAATGACAGTAGTTTGTGGATTATGTATTGGTAGATAAAAGATCTGTGAGTAGACTTCAGGATGTACATGTTTTATAGAGGGCCACAGAATATCAGATCACTCTTGTACTACACTGAGAGTAAAAGGTAGATGTATACAAGGGAATAGAAGCACAGGAAGAGAGAGGTGAAGTATAAACTAAAAGAGAGGCAGTTGGGAAAGTAAACAGCATTGGAGGATAGATGCTAATGAAGCATAGGCAATGGGTCCGAAGAGGATGGTAGGTTTAAAAATGTAGTTAGAGTGTTCAGCAGTAGTTTGTGGTTTACTGGAATGGCGTGCAGGATGAAGAGGAGCGATTGGTGGAATATTTAAAGAGTAGTAAGGAGAAAAAGTTAGCATATGAGAAGTTTTGACAAAGTAGAAGTGATGACAAGAGGGAATAGTAATTGGCAAAAAGAGAGGTTAAGAGTGGTGAAGCAATGTAAAAGATGACCAAATGAGAATGGGTGAGATGTTATCAACACAATTCTGTTGAAAATAAGAAAGTTTTTTCGAGTGAGATTAACAAGTAGAATTCCAAGAACAATGATTTGTCAGTTAAAAAGAGAGGAGTTATTAATGGAGTTAGGTATTGGGAAATGGAGGGAATAATTTCGAGATTGTTAATGTTGATGAAGATGTAAGCTGTATTTCGTGAAGGCAAGGAGGAATAACATCCATTGTAGGAGTGAGGAGAGCCGTTTGATGTGGGGGAAAATTCTGAGTGCATAGTTTTTAAATGAAGGGGTAAGGCAGCCGGCGTTTGGAAAGATGAAGTTAAAAGCACGTCCAATAACTTTTGGTTTTCATATTAAAAAAGTTGGTGATAATACCTAACAAACATCTTTGCTCCTTTTATACAGGCAATGCGGACCACGACCAAAACACTCTTGCGTTTTCTCCATTAGTGTTCCCTTAAATGTATCACTTCTATTGTAAAGAACTTCATACAGTGACGGGAACTAGGTATTCTACAGACTTTAAGGCACATACATTCCACCAGTGCTCCTCTTACATGCACCCACTTATGTAACCAGCTAACTTGCTAGAACACTAACAATGAGGCATTTTATCATTATGCCACTTCGACACCAGGCTATGCTTATTAGGGCCATGCAGTCTCTGCAAGCTGTATTTAGTAGGTTTACTGAACAGTCCGCTATGTAGTTTATAGAACATTCACTCATGTTCCTGAATAGAGCTTCTTCCCATAAAAGTAGCCCTTCAGTACAAGGCATGTTTAGTCCCGAGGTGATTAAATATTATAATCGTGGGTTGATAAGACAAGTACAATGCAGGTCTCTCAAAGAGGCGTGTTAATCACCAAGATACAGAATCACAACAAATGACGTCATTTCACAGCTGCTCATATGCTGATGCCTAGTGCACTTGGGAGATTGAAGAAACGCAGATGATTGGTGGAGTTGCTAGGTGAAAAGATTAAGTATACCAAAAACTAAGTTTGAATAACAAGATTCAATCAAGGTATTCATTGAGAAGGTTAGATCTGGCACCCAAACTTGAGTGGACGTGCACGATCTCTAAAAGTGAGGTGCCTATCATAGCATTCAGGGTACACCAACAAGATACTGCTCTCACTTGGTCTTGCAAAGGACTGCCTTAGGCAACATTAAAGACGTACCCAGTAAATCTCCTACGCTCCTTCATGCGGTGTACGCGTGGCGCTAATCGTCAGCAGGTAGCAGACGGACAGCTATTATGCCACTTCTCGCTCCTAAAGCTGTTGGACTATAATGCAATAATTCTGTAGTTTACACATTCATAAGCTCATCTTACCATAACTGAGTCATTAACATGAGGACCGCTTGCTTATGCTCGGTAATTTGAGATATCGCAGAATATCTCCAATGTGTATCAGTCTGTAGTGGAAGGAATGCGGGTAGGGGTCGCCTAGGAAGGTTTGTGAGGCAGGGGGTAATAGGAGCTCTTGTTTGCGATTCTCGACATCCAGCATGCATGCGTGAGCGTTTTTGTAGGAGTGAATGGAGACAAAATGGTTTTTAATATTGACGTGCTGTTGGATTGTTAGCAAAGTTACATTGTAGAAGGGATTCAGGGAAACCGGCAGCCGGACTTTGATCCTGGAATGGACGTACATGCTGCACTCGAGGAGGGTGTTAATGTTGCAGTTAGGACAAAAATGTAGTGTAAAGCAACCCTTCTGGCAAGACAGTGATGGAAGTGAATGATGGTTGAAAGTATTTTTTTTCGGCCACCCATGCTTGTGGGAATCGCCATGTGATAATAAAAAAAAAAATAATATATATATATATACATTGTAACCCATTCAAGGGTTGCAACACTTGTCCTATATGACAAGAAGCGTTGCTATTTAAGCAAGATCGCAAGTTCCCATCGGCCGCATATATATATATGAATACTTATATTATATATATATATATATATATATATATTATATATATTAATATATATATATATATATATATATATATATATATATATATATATATATAATATAATATATATTATATATATATATTATAATATAATCAAAACACCACTGTGAAAGAAACGCAAAATTTTATAATAATTTCAATATATTCAGCTTGACGCATGTTATCCAAGCTTGGATACCTGTTCATCAAGTGGGCAACAGGTACAACGTCACTTTTTGACGAGCTCCACGCTTACAAATTCTATTTACTGTTGAATGACAAAAGTGATGAGTGTCTTGTATATTCCTAGCTGTATGCTTGTTTGCTCTAAGCATGTTTCATAACCGGTGCTTTATGTGGTCACACACCTCCTTGCTCCACTCCCTTGCGTGTACTTCATGCAAAAATATTGATTCAGTTATAACGCTAAATATATCGTTAATGTTTTGGAAAGTTATATCCTGGGTAAAATACCCCGGTGTCAGAACACTCCAGAACTGCTGCAAGTATTGAAGTGTTTATTGCAAGGTAGTCGTATATCACCGTGCATTTAAAGATAATAAATTAACTTTAAGGAAAGCTGAAATCTATTTCAGTTATACATGACTTACATAACCCTGTCTCAGCCATACGTAGCATGGCTTACACAAATATGATTTCCTGACGAGTGAAAATAAAGCTTCGTTAGTAGTGAGGCTCCTTTGCATCATCCTGTCCACCAGTTGTTTAACACCCTCAGTGTCGCGGTCTTTATCAAAATAATATTATTCTGAGAGGGATATATCCAGACTGAAAGTTATGTTATCATAGGAACAGTGTAGTAGTCCTGATCAATGCTTCATGTATGGAATGTATACAACACTGCTGTAGCTTTCTTTTATATCTTTATAATGTATGATGCACTGTGTTTATTCAAGCACCTTATATTAATCGTACTTTTATCCACATTTTTTTTTCATTTTAATTCATCTGAACATGTGTTTATTATATGAAAACGCTCAGGTTTTCATATTTTTACTTTTCACTGGATGTATATGTATACATGCAATGTGCACTTGACTGTTACACTTTATAAACAGATTTAAATGTTATGATATGCATTATGTTAGCAAGTAAGTAGGCTACTGAGTGGTCGGTCGTCACTTGTTTCCCTCTAGGCCTCGCACCAAGAACTCTAACTAACCTAGCCACCACTTAGAGGGTCCTAAGCCCAATTTAAGCCACCTCTAAAACATTCAGTATGTACTCAGTCCTATGAGAAACAAATGACGACAGTAGCGCACCGTCCAGTGCTCAGACGACTCACCTAAGTGTCTCTCCGGAGGACCTCTAAGAAGGTGTTTCGTTGCAGAAGGATTCCCGGCTGCAAGTTGACGTGTTAAACTAAGTGCTGAGCAAGTGCGCCTGGCTAGTAGTTGAGCTAGTAGTTACCCAGTTCCCGTACTCTTGCTACCTACACAACCTTTATCCCCGGACCTTACTATCCCAGCCCCTTACCCCCAGACACAAGGTAAGGTTCGCATCTTGTTTGTTGGTAGACATGAAGTGTTTCTGATCAAGTCACTATTTGCAGAACTAGTTCTGCAACTAGTCTCTTTATCTTTTTTTTTATTGTTTAGTGGCTGCATGCACTCAGTAGTTACTATCTTTACGAGTGTTACCATTGACTGTTTTTATAATGATTGTTTACATTTGGCTATTGATACTGGCTGTTTGGTATATGAAATTATATGCATCGTGTTAGCTGGTGTATGCTACCTCTTTCATTTACAGGTTGTATAATAAAGATAGATGTATAACAGCACTCAGCAAGCGAGTGGTCCGTAATTCATTATTTGGATACAGCATCATTACACACATGTGCAACACCTGAGTGTCTATACAGCCATGCATCGCTGAACGACGGGGACTTTCTGAGAAATACGTCGTTAGGCGATTTCGTCGTTGTGAGAACGTCATAGAGTGTACTTACTCAGGTCTAGATGGTATAGCCTACTACACACCTAGGCTATGTGTTTTTTTTCCATCACAGATTTGCTTGCAAGTAGTTAATGCACTATGAACATTCTTCTATTAATAAAAACCTTTCGGTGTTGGAGTCCGTTGTTTATATACTTTTTAAAGAGCTTGTTGAGGTCTGATAAACCCTTAACTGTGATTTTTTTTTTTTTTTATATAAGTGGAAAGACTACACTCTAGAATAACGATAAAATGTACAGTATAGTAAATACATAAACCACTAACATAGCTGTTTATTATCATAATCAAATTTTATGTACTATACATAATTATATGTGCTATATTTTTATACGACTGGCAGCGCAGAAGGTTTGTTTACACCACCGTCGTATATGTGGTGCTTCGTTGAACGAAATGTCGCTGTGCGACACATTACTGTATTTGAAGGCGTATCGCAAACCAGGTGTTGCACATGTCTCTAATTCCTCACCATATCGGCATTGTATGATATTTTTATAATGATAATTGTTTGGATGATCTAAAAGTGGATCATTCAGCTCATAACCAAAAGGATCAGCGTTCGATGCTTTGTGAGAGAAGAGGTATTATGGGTAGGTGACCTTACACCTGCTGCCCCTGGTCACTTAGCAGTAAGTAGGTTCCTGTATGTTAGGCGATTGTTGTGGGTAGCATCCTGGGGAAAAGAAGATTTAAGGACCAACGTGGAAATATGACAGACAGTTAAGTTTTGCATAAATAATACACTAACCTTATTGGGATATCCTGGGTAGTTAGCTCTCCGGGTTAATAATCCCAATAAAATTCTTTTTATTTTTTTTAACTGGAAGAAGCGCTAAAGATCCCACCGGAATTAAGCCAGGTTGCCTGACTTGCTGGTGTCGTCCTTGGTTAGTAACCCAGGAAAAGAAAACGCTGACGGTGAGAAAGAAAACGCACAAGTTTTATGGCTTACCAGCTAGTGTTGAAGTTAACATTAGTGTACAGTGTTAATAATATTAATAGCAACAGTAACAACATTAGTAAGATTAATAAATATTTTAAGTGCTCTCTCTCTCTCTCTCTCGCTCTCTCTCTCTCTCTCTCTCTCTCTCTCTCTCTCTCTCTCTCTCTCTCTCTCTCTCTCTCTCTCTCTCTCTCTCTCTCTCTCTCTCTCTCTCTCTCTCTCTCTCTCTTAGATTTAGGGTTCCTACCTTTATTTACAGGCTAAGAGCTATTACCTACATCAGCTCATTTGAAAGCCATTTTATTGTTGTGAGACACAAGTAGGGAACAGAATGAAGTTGGAGCCATCTGTGACCCAGCGATTTCATTTGGTCAACTGCCCTTCTGACACAATACCATTCACTTATATATCCATACCTCACCTATGGTATCTGTGCTTGGGGTTCAACTGCAGCAACACACCTAAAGCCAATAATAACCCAACAAAAAGCCGCAGTAAGAATAATCACTAAATCCCATTCCTGGCAACACCCCCCCCCCACTCTTCATAGATCTAAACTTACTCCCTGTTCAGTACATCCACACTTACTACTGTGCAATCTATATCTACAGGACCTTAAATTCCAATATTAACCTTGACCTAAAACGCTTTCTTGATAGTTGTGACAGGATCCACAGGCATAACACCAGACACAAACATCTCTGTGACATTCCCCGTGTTCGACTAAACCTTTACAAAAATTCAATGTATTTCAAAGGACCTAAAATCTGGAACACCCTACCTGAAAACTCGAGAACTGCAGGCACATTCATCACTTTCAAAACTATAGTTAAAAAACATCTTATCTCCCTGATACACCCCGACAACTAACTACATGATAACCACCTGGTGGTTCACAATTACACTCACTCACCCACTGGCTATAAACCCAGAAATACTAATCTTAATCTTAAAATAATAAATCCTAACTAGTCATAAGTTTGCCTATGATACTCCAGTCTAGACACTTTGTATTGTGCCAAAACAAAAGCATTCACATTGCTAAACTCACAAATTATGATGTAGCCTTAATACCATAATCTGTAAGGATTTAATGTTAAGAATTAATCTAAGTCTGCCCGAAATGCCTAGCCATGCTAGGTGTCCTAGTGGCCCCCTCTGTAATTAGTATTTTATAACATGTAAACCACACAATACCCAAAACCTGTAAGCCCCACATTGTAACCCTTATAGAGAATAAACTTGAATTGAATTGAATGTCATTATGCTGTACGAAGATGTTCCAGACTCGGGTCAATCTGGGAATAAATGATCTCAGATGAAGTGATGTTCTGGAGAATGGTACAGCCAGAGTGAAGTTGCGGTTTGCTGCCCGTCTTGCTGTGTAGCTCGGAGTGAAGCCAAGTGTGGTACCTTGACAATACTGGCATTGTACATAAGAGTAAGGCCACCCACATCTCTCCGGTGTTAAAATCTCTGCTGAAATGACAGATCTATCCAGGCTGAGTCCAGACGACAGATGAGTCATCTTGCTCAGCTGTCTATTCTGTCAAGATGTCGCAGATGAAATAGGGGGGGGAGCAGGCAGTCCAAAAAAGTGCAGCATACTCAAGGTGTGAGCGTACTTTTGCCTCGTTCAGAGCAGATGCAAGATACGTCCAAGTGCTGTAAGTTTCCTGGCTGTTTTATTTGTAAGGTTTACAACGTGGTTCTTCATAGTTTACAGTCAAATTTCACAGCTTCATCCCAGGGCACCAGTACTCTCCCATTCATTCTCACCACTGCTCCAGCATACCATCACGGTGCTCAGAGTCCATCATCATATGTGTTTTCTCAGGAGCAAATAATAATAATAATAATAATAATAATAATAATAATATCTTTATTTACTACAAGTACGTGTACAAGGTGTACAGGCCTAGGTGACATCAATGACATACTACTATACAGAAAGCCGCTTGTTATGCAGAGCATTTCGGGCAAATTAGGTCAGTTATGTCCCAGGATGCGACCCACAGACTATCTCCCAGGTACCCATTTTACTGATGGATGAACATAGACAATCGGTGTAAAGAAACACGCCCAGTGTTTCCTTCCTCGCTTGAAATCGAACCCAGGCACTCGCCATGTGAAGCGAGAGCTTTAGCCACCAGGCCACGGGGCATCGTTTTTCCCAGGCTGATATAGCTATAAGCTGGTGATTGATGTAACTTAGAGCAGTTGACATTTCCTCTCTTGGGTAAATAAATATCAGAGTACAGTCGTTTGCATATGCATGGGATTCTGGGATGAGTTGAAGGTCATTGAAGTAGACATTCCATAACAATGGCCCAAACACACTTCCTTGTGGAACACTTGCACCGGTAGTGTGTCTTTTTGACTCTGCCACGTTGAGAACTACGATCTGCTTTGAAGGTATTTACTAAGGAGGCATAGTGCAAAACCAGCGACTCCTAGTGCTTGCAGTTTTGCCAAGTCCTTGGTGGCATACTCGGCGGAAAGCACCAGCAATGTCCAGTGCTACTACACAGCTGAACTTAGATTCACCCAATGACTGGTGCCACATAATGGAGAGGTTTAACAGCAGATCAGCAGCAGAGAGACCTTTTCTGAAGCCATACAAAGAAGCGAGTGGTAGCTGTGATATTATTATCGCAGGAATCTTGCCAGTGATTGACATGAGTGACACTGGTCTGTAGTTGCAGATTTCCGCTCTGCTCTTTTCTCTTTCCACAGAGAAGATCATTTACACTGCTAGGTAGTGCTGATAGATGCGAGTTAAAAGTGATGCTAGCTAGTCTTCACATCTACTCAGTAATCTTTGGCCCACAGACTTTTCATGGTCCAGCGATGCCTTATTGTCACCTCTGACAATTTTGACACAGTTCTTGCCTCTAGCAAAGGAGGTTCCCTTACTGGATCAGGAACTTGCATCTTGGCAGCAAAGAGATCAGCTTTCTCCTGATTGCTAGTAGAGATGGTCCCATCCTGTGAATAACCAGGTTTTGGAGCCCATTCTACTTGATGCCGGCTTTCTTTTTTGTGACAGCCTCCCATCTAGAGATGGCCTGTGCAGATTCCTGTTGTAGATAGCGGGATGCCTCTTATACTTTCTCCAAGCCTTGTAGTATTTAGCCGAACCAAAGTTGATCTGAAGGCTTTGTCACATACTGCCGGTGAGGGATGTTTTCTTGTTGGAGATTAAGGATGTCTTCAGTGAAGGCATTCACTTGGTTATCAACGACACCTTGGAGAAGAGCATTCCAATCAGAGGTGACGAGCTCAGAGCAACGGGGCTGGGCAGTTTCCTCTATCCCACAGCCAGGTTGTGCGTGTACATTCTTCACCTCGTTCGTTGGAATTTTCAGTGTCGTAGAGACAGCCTTATGGTCAGATGATCCAACATAGCCAAGATCACTTTCTATTGGCTCAGGAGATAAGATTTCGTTCGGATTTTTAACCCCGGAGGGTTAGCCACCCAGGATAATCCAAGAAAGTCAGTGCGTCATCGAGGACAGAGATGTGAACAGGGAAGCCAACAAATCTTCTCATGTCAAACACTACAAGAAGTTCGTCAAAATCCTTCT